AAATAAAATGCACACCTTAACATTATTTTCTTGTTTTTGCAGGGATCAGTCAAGGATCAGATTCGTTTATATGGCCCCTTGACAGAAAATGTGACCAGAAAATACACTCGCCAAATTCTGGAAGGAGTAACATATCTACACCACCATATGATTGTCCACAGAGATATTAAAGGTATACTACATCTGTAGAACAGCCCTCGTTTTTCTTTCACATCTTTTCATCTGTAATCTCCCATACCAGTGGCATGCTTTGGATAAACTTGCATTCATCAATCTGTAAACTTTTCCATCTGTTTTGCTATGGATTGTCTGTTAACCATGTCAGGTGCACTGTTGGTCATTTGTGATACCAATCTGCCGTCTCATTATCTCCACACTAAGTGCTGAGATGAGTGCAGTGCAGTGTCCTAAATGATAAAAATACAGTGCATGCTCTATCAGTACAGCAGCTCTTAATATTCATGTTACATTCACATTGATAAAGGACCTTGAACATTATAAATATGATGGTATGCGAAGGATGTTTTGCTCACCTTTGCTATCCAGGACAGTGTTTATTTTATCACCAGCCAATGGAAATCCTTCTAATTTTGAAATAAATCCTCATTTATCTGATACCTCATTAATTCTGTATCACTAGGATATTTTTGTTGTTTATCAGTAGAGCACTTCAATTTGGGATAAAGTTTGCTACTTTTAACAGGAAACGGTATAAATATCCACAATTTTTTAATCTTCTGTGTTTGTCCTTTACCAATTTCACAGCACGATATATGCTCAATGACACCATAAATGCCAAAAAGAGTGTTCTTTACAAGAATTTTACTGGGATTTTATGGTACATTGATAAGTCAAGGTAGAAAATTACCTTGGTTATGTTAATTTTAGTTTATGGAAGTTTTTGTCATAATAATAATAATAATTTGCATGTTTCTGTTTTGCTCACGCATTTCTGTAAAATAACGCTTTCCTATGAAGCCATACTTTTCAAATCTGTTAGTAAAGATTTACGTGGAGATTCCCTCTTATAAAATACAGGTTGCATTACAAATATGTATATATTTGATGTTGAAAAATTGCACTGATTTACATTTGGTAAATAACCAAGAGACAAGAAGCTTTGAGGAGAAAGGGACTGGACATCAAAATACCATACCTTTGGATTATCCTGGTGTCATTTGAATGCTGTTGGTGGTACATAACCTCAAGGCAGCCTAATTCCCTGAACCCTCTAGCCATTAGTGAATAGTTTCTGTTTTATTTCAGCTGTGTGGTATTCATCAATTCACATCTGACTATGTGATGTGTTTCTTTCTTTCTTCTTTTTAATACAGTATTTTTAAAACATCATGTACACATAGCTTATTTTTGCTTTAGGTGCCAACATTTTAAGAGATTCTATTGGCAATGTGAAAATTGGTGACTTTGGGGCATCAAAACGTCTGCAGACAATTTGCACCCAGACAGGGATGAAGTCGGTGACTGGCACCCCGTACTGGATGTCCCCAGAGGTCATTAATGGAGATGGCTATGGAAGGAAGGCAGATGTGTGGTGGGTTGATCACTTTAAGCCTCACCCTTGTCTCCTCTATGGATTAAGATTAGTAGACTAGGACTGTAAGATGAATTTGGTATCTGAAAAAAATGGAATTGTCTAGGAATTTTTTTGTTTCAATTTTTTTTTACAAATTTGAAATTATCAATAAGAGATGTGCAAGGTGGAGGAGATATGTAGCTGTTTCACCTCTCTCTTTTTTTTTTTTTTTGTTCCAAAGTAAGTGAATACAATAAATACATTTGAAATTGTTTTAACTTCTTCCAGGAGCATTGGTTGCACAGTCGTGGAAATGTTAACCTCAAGTCCACCTTGGTCGGAGTTTGAAGCGATGGCAGCTATTTTTAAAATTGCCACTGCAGATACACCCCAATATGAACTTCCTGCTCATGTCAGCCTGGTGGCCAGAGACATTTTAGAACTATGTTTTAGGAAAAATCAAAAAGACAGACCTTATGCAGAAGAGTTACTAAAACACAGATTCGTCAATGAGTTCACGTAGCCTCTCCTGATTCGACAGGTCCTCGTATGGGAAGCTCTAGTCATCTGTCTGTGATCCGTGGATGTTCTATAAGTTATGTGAAATGGAGGAGATACAGTAGAAGAGCTGGAACTTTAAAACTAAGATACTCCTCTGATTAAAGCTGTGGATGATTGGGATGCTGAAGCTGTGCCTCTTTTTGTGTGACTGCCCATGGCGGTCTTCAATTTTTTTTCTATATTGAGAATTAAATATTTTATCACTGCAATTAAGTCACATTAAATTTATTGGTTGAAGTCCTAGAAGGTATTTGTAATGAGCTTTTGTATATAGTCCTACTATGTACAGTTTTCTCTGGAGTTGATGTACCTATTTGAAGTTATGACAAATGTTAAAAACTTTAATCATTGAATAACCTTAAATGGATAGATATTTGGAATTGGTCATCTATGATCTTCATATTTTCTATATTGTGCTCAATGGCCTGTGGACAGTAAATAGAATTAGAACGTCTGCTCAGAAACTACAGTAACTCTGCTTATGCCAATTGAGGAAACTTGTGGTCTTAGCAGTAAATACTTGGTGGATGTTGTTTGAGTTAGATAAGTTCTAAAAAAAGTGCTGAGGACACCAGGAAGATTTATTGTTTCTGTTATGACATACCAAAATCTCATATACTCTCCGCTTAGATTTAAGTTATTGTAAAGTCTAAGTTTCAGGTAGTGAAGAAATTATTTCTTTGAGTTTATTGATTTAAAGACTACAGTTTAAATGTCACATTGGGTTTATTGAACATTATTTTTGTAGAGTTCAGAGACTCTAAGGAATAAAAAAAAAAAACAGCCACAGTCATGGTTATGGCTGTAGAAGATGCAATAAGGTCATAACTATGTCAACAATGGGCAGTTGTGTACATAATAAATATACAATAAGTGATCATTTTAGCAACATGATAACAACTATCAGCAGGACTCTGATACATAGACTGTTAGTATGTAAAGTATACATCATATAACCATTGAAATGCAGCTAGTTCCCTACTTTACCATGTTAACGGCATTGATTGATGTTATTGAAATTATATTCGTCACGATCTGGATAAAACATGCACCATACTCATTGGTAGAAAAAATTCTACTGTGGCTTTAAATGAAATTCACAACATCCAATTTTAGGTAGGAGACAATTCAGCATGAAATGATGTAAAAAAAATATGGTTATTACTCAACTTTGAAACTGCATATATTTCCGTATGCTACTTTTTGGTACTTTTATTTGTTAATCACAAGAACACTTTCTGGCATAAACCAAGCTCACTTTTTGGAAATTTGAAATAATATTTCAGATATCACTTTTAAGGCCACATTTTCAAAAATACAAATAGTAAGATATGCTCGAATTTAATAATGACCTCCACATACTACCCACATTTCTACTCAGTTCTTTTTTTTTTTAATTATTTCAGGGCAGACTATGGTCTTGAATCTCACTCCTACAATTAATGTTTTCTCATCTGGAAGGGTTTGTGCTTAAAGAAAGGTTGCACTTGTCATATTTGGTTTTTGTATGGACACTGCTGTGTCTGTACATCTGTCACTACCAACTGTTCGTTGTGTCCAATTTTGCCAGCCATGTGTCTTAAGTAGGCAGCAAAACTAGCAAAGCTGATAAATTTAAAGTTAAAGTTGATTAAAAGTATAGCTTTGTGTATACTGTAATTGTTAAGAAGTAGGTACACCACATTTAATACTGCATAACATGGGTTAAAACATGATGTGATTTTGTTTTCAAATCAAAATTTTCTACCATCTGAAATTGATATTTTTCAAGTCATTGGGAAAATCACCAATGGTTGCTTTCCATCCAAAGTGTTAGTTAATAAATCTTAATATCATAATGTCAGTTGAATTGAAGGCCAGTGAAGTGTCATTGTTACAAATTGTACAACAATCCAAACCTGGTGCATCTTTTGCATTGCACTGCAGGTCTTCATAATTGGCAGCTTCAGTTCTTTTTTCAGTGCAGTGTATTTAAAAGACGAAGGATCTTTTCCTTAGCAGCAATACCTGATCAAGTAAATGTATCGTAGATGCACTTCAAATTTTGGTCACATTATTATTCATTGTGAAGTTGTCTATAGTACTTAAGAAATCCAATTTATGATGTCGTTTTCCAATGATGGCTTCCTTCAAAGGCAATACTTTAGGATGACAAGGGATAAATATTCCTAGGATGTTTGGGAACAATATGCATCTTCTTTGTAATATTTATAATGTACTATTTTCATATATGGAAATATTTTGCAGTCGTGACTGTTTAAAAACTGCTGATCTCTTAATATGCTGTTGTCATTGTTTAATATGATATATAGATTTATATATCAACTGAAAGTTAGTGGTATGCTGAAGACATTTCTTCCGCCAGACATAGTTGTCAAAATTTTTTAACTTACTGATGTCAGTTTTACAAATTTGTAGATTTTTACTTGCAAGAAGTTAAAATGAAAATACCTGCCCTTAATATAGAGTAGCATTTCACTAAATAATATATATTTAAGTGCATGTTTTGTACATTTTAATTTCTAATGAAGGTATTATTTCTATTGCACACCTTTGCTGCTGGTAATACACGAGGGAATATTTAGCAAAGACTGTAAAAGTCACTTAAATACAGGATGGTTATTTTTTGTACAGACACCAACTGTAATAAAGGCAATTTTATTAAAACTAAAAAATGAATTTTTTAAATATTTAACTAGGCGAGTCATTTACATTTTCCTAGTCTGTGGACAAGATTTTTCCCATAAATATCAGGTACATGTATGTTGAGGTGCACTAATACAAACAACAACCAAGCATTGAAGCTGTAGCCTTTAAATAATCGTTCAATTGTAGAAATAAGTAGTATTTATTATTTATTAATATGTAAACATATCTTTTTCATGGAATATTATGCCCAAATTATGTAAAAGCCACATTATTTCTGATTTATGGAATACTTTATTTCAAAAGATATGCATTTCAATGATTTTGGCACCACTGGAGAACAATTTGTTACAAACTTATTCCTAATGCTCCAGAAAATTATAGACAAATCTGCTCTTACTGGTAAAATACTTCGTCAATATCCCATCAATCTACCATTGATCATAATGAAATCTATCTTACAACTGGTAAAAAATATCCTTACACTGAATGTTGTATAGTGAAAAGCAAAATTGATTTGCCTCTTTCCAGAAAAACTTAAACCCACAATGAAACCCAATCATATTCCAAATTTGCTTATAGCCACAGTTGGATACCCGCCCAGTCTCCACACTACCTTATACCCATGAGGCTTAACACCATGATATTTAAAATGAAAATAAATTTCCAAATTTTTTAATACAATATATCACCTATCAGCCCTTAATTGTGCTACAAATCATTAATTCAAAATGCTGAGGCTATTCCTCCCATGTGGTACTCCCTCTCTCACTCACACCCTTCACTTAACATTTTTCAAGTTTTCATATCCTGGTTTTGTTAAGAAGTATTACTAGTCAAGAAGAGATAAAGCCACACTAGAAATTACAATATACTTATAACATCTGGTTTTGCAAACTTTTTGGGTAATATTGCATCAATTTCCACAATCATCTTCTGAGAAATAGAAAGTATAGCATTCTTTTTTGCTTTTGTTGTTGTTCTTAAGGGGTCATCTACTAAACAATTTGTTAGAAGAGACACAGTATGATGGTGTTGTAATGAGGTTATAACATATGGTTTCCACTATTATGTCCCAGTAGGAGAATTTACTATAAGACTCTCAGTTTGTTCTTGATCCAAATCGCGTAACCTGCAAACACAAGGGAATATTTAAATAAATAAAATAGAAAATTATAACACAAGTGAGCACAAAGGCAATTAATCATAAATAAACAAACAAACAGAAATCAATATAATCAACATAAATTATACAGCTTGAATGATGCACCAACTCTAAAGTACAGACAGAAGCCATCTTCAATGCATGCGTCATCAAATTGTGTGCACGAAAATGGAACATTATTGCATTTTCAGCTGAGAACTTGTACAAAAACATCTTACAATTTTATAAATCAATTATTATTATTATTATTATTATTATTATATTTTTGAATTTGAACCTACCTGACAGGTGGCCTTGCTTTTACTATACAATGAATGCATTTTTTAATAGCTAATAGCACTGGGTCCCAGTTCTCATAATAAGAAAATAAAGTGACAGCAAAGAATGAGAGGAAGACTGGAAAAGTCCCTACATAGAATCTCCAGGTGTAGCTCTTTTCCTAAAACAAAATTACATATTGTAAATCAGAGTCCACAATTTGGATGCAAAAAAAAAAAAAAAAAAAAAGAAAATGCCAACTGCTCTCTCACAAAAAGCTCTGTTTTTTACAACATGGACAGATTTAATAACAACAGCATTGTATACAAAAAACAATGCTCACAATATTGCATCTGACTTGGACTAGCATAAGGCATTTAGTGTGGAGGGGGGTAATAGACTCACCTGAAATATTATGTCTGCCAGCACTGTTAATGGAATTGTAAGGCTGAGAGATAATGTGGCTAGCAGTGATGAGGTTAAGAAACAGCCCCTGCAACATCAATACAAAAACAATACAAATATTCAAATTACACTATCAAATATTCAGGCCTTCCCTGTCACATGAGACCAGTTTTGTTAGGATTGACTGAAAATGTAGATGTCAGATAAAACTGCACAAAATTAATTTATTAAACACTGTTCAAAAAACACACTGAGAGGTCTTTCACATGTAATGTTTCAAGAGATATTGTTTAAAAAAAAACTGTGCCGGTTATTAACAGGAATATTTTTTGTGAAAATTTGAGAAAAATTTAAAAACCTGGCCAGATTTTTTATCATTTACATAACATTTATAAAAAAAAACTTTTGACGTTAAATTTCAGGTTTGCCATATCTTTTTTAAAAAATCATTTATCCCACCCAGGGTGAGCTTACCATAACCAGAGCAGATCTGAGAGTACTGTTCCAATGAGTCCATTGACTAGTAGGAATAACCACTGCTCTTTGGTAGGCCATTGGAACACTTCTGCCTTGGAGTAGTGCAGGATAAAGAACCCAGGCCACAACATGATGAAGTTAAATAGCCCAACAAATCCTGAAACAAAAACATTGGTAAACTAAATGTTCAAAGAGATGGGGTGGTCTTATTTTAACCAATACAACTCAAATTAAATTAAATAAAAATGAGTAAATAAAACCCAACTAGAATAGTGTTCTAGAAAATGAGTTAATCAAAGTACATTGTTACTTACCAAAAAACAATGGCAGATCTACTTTATCTTCATTTTCTACTTTTCTTTTGAGCATCACAGTGTACACAGCATATAATATGGCACCACACAAAGCCCACAGTGCTCCTAGGGGAATTGTGCCTTCCATGGATTTATCTTCCCAACACACCAGAAGAACCCCTCCAATACTGAAATTAAACATTGATATTATAGGGATATACTGATATACTAGTACTGATATACTTTATGCAGGAATAAAAATTGATTGACAATTAAAATTGTCATGTCTAGTATGAAAACTGCTTTTAAAAAATTAACTGGGATAACTGTGTAAGCAGTTTTTTCTCACAACTGACGTTTCAAATTATATTTTTAGTATTTGTAAGTTTAATTTTTTTCTTTCTAAAAATCTTTTCTTTTATTTTGGGTATCATAAATCCTTTACCCAGCACGTAAATTTGCTGTATTGTAAATTTACTGTACCTCAATAATACTGCTGTTAATTTTGATAGTGAAAATCTATCAATACTAGAACTAGGGAATATGGCTGCCAGAACCAGAGTGAAGAGACATGACGTGGAAGACAGCACATTCACTATGCCTGCCTGGGTGTCACTAAGAGCTTCTTGGTATGCCAGGTTGCCAAAAAACCACTGCAAGTCAAAAGAAATAATCACTTATTTTCTACATGTATTTCTACAAACCTGAAATTGTATGACTCATGACTTGACATAGTTTGCTGTATTGTATACTAGAATCATCATCAGAAGTGATATCTATTCTTAATTTGTTACATAACCAACCAACAGTTGGTGGTCTTCTTCAGCTATGCCGTTTTAGACCAAAAAAAAAAAAAAACATGAATCCCTTTAAAAGCTTTAACCAAACACAAACATTCAATATACCAGCACAAGTGCATATATATATAAAACACCAGAATGTGAATGTTACCTACCACAATACAGAAAATCAGGCTGAGTTTGACAACCTGTCTAATGGTGAGTCTGTTCAGTGCTCTCTGCCTGGCCTCCTCGGCACGTATGGATGCAGCATAGGACAGCCTGGCCAGTACTGCATCCTCTGCATGATGGTCTGTGAGGAATATGATGAGTATGTTGATTACAATAATAAGCACACTCAGAACAGCGGACTTAAAGATATGTGGATCAAATATGGCCAACCCACTTGAATGCTTGTCACATATAAGTAATACCTGCAGGGAATCTATTCAGCGTCTACTCGAGAATTAAGCGGCAAGCTTTTAGGTGGGTCGCCATATTTGATCTGCAGATCTGCTAGTTTGCTGTTCTGAATACTTCCTATTAAATGATCTTTTCAATGGGCAAACATTATCAACTTTTCAGATGCATAATTTTATGAGCACAAAAATTACATTCCTATAAAGCATTTGTGGTGCTTTTTTACTGCACAGGATAGAACTAAAGAGCAGCCTGCTTTTTTTAATTTGTTGCTACTTCTCAGTAGGAGGAGTGTTCTAATTTTAAGGAGGAATGAATTTTTCTTTCTTTTATTCTTTTTGTCTGTATATTGTCTAGACATTAATTGGATTCTACACAAACAAAATGCAGGAATCCAAAGAATACACAATAAATTCAAAGTAAATCTCTTCTATAATTTTATTAAGGGGTCAAACTTGTATCGCCTTATGTTAACCTCTTACCTGGCAACTGTCTAACTTCTGATATGCTGCTAAATCTGACAGACCTTGAAACTAAAAGAACAAGATAGCACAGCTTATAAAAACATATCAGCAGGGGTGACTTTATGTGCTAATGTGAATCGACAGATCTATAGAAGTAATAAGTTTCAGTGCAGTGCAAACACTGGCTGGTGGTGGGTCAAATGAAAAGCACATAGACTTCTTCACTTTAAATACAATAACTTTATTAATTGAGAAATTATTTATGTATTAAAAGGAGACTAACACTACCTTCTCTTATGGCAGCTATGCATTGTTTGCAAATAAGACAAAAATCAGCCTACAACTCTTAAAAATATGTGCAAAAGGTTGACTTTCAGCTTTTGTATAAATTTATTAAAATATTCATAATTCAATCTTCATGCTAGTCAGTGGCAGCTTCATATGCTGTGAGTCTACACTCAGCCTTGCTCTACTTACTTGAGCCATCATCCGATTCAGTTCCACTACGCCTGTCATTAATGGGTACATATTTGGGTTCACTCTGAAAATTAAAATTGAGCACAAAAGCTGACATTAAATGTAAGAATTCTTAGAAACTTTTCTTATTTATCTTTCATTTAGCCCATTTCATAATTTCATAATTTATCGCCAATGGGACTGGTATCTATATGAACTGTTGCTCTGAAGGTAATATGCCATTACCTGCCATTGAGTTTTAACACAATGTAGCATGCTGGCAAGAGAGATAAACCCACTTAAGTTAAGTGCTTGGTATGCCTATGACACTAATGAATTGCTGATGAATAATATCAAATAGGGGCACCAGGAATTGCTATTTTTTTTCATCAAAACCAATGTAGTAATAAGGTGCAAAAAGGATTTTTTTTTAACAGGCTACAGGCTATCCCATTTGTTTTATGTGTTAATGTCAATAATCACTAATTTTTGTTTCTTATGACTAAGTAGTAATTCAAATGTGCTTTACCAACTGGTCTTGTTCTGTGGTGTCTTCAGTTACTATACTGGATATCTGAAATAAGAATGTATAAGATATCAGTAGTGGCACCACAATAAGGCAATTTTTTCCGCTAATTAAAACAAATTTGGTTTTATCAATATAAGAAAATATGTAGCAGATCATGTGGATTAAAACTGTGACTTAGGCTGCACTTGCTAAGATTGAAGATAGCTTTTTCACATCTTAAACCAAACTCTCACTTTAACATTAACGCACAAAAAATATTGTGCAAAACGGCAACTTGAAATCCAAATGTTTACATCCAAACCTATATGTGCTGTAAGCTCAATATTATTCATTATCCTGTTTTAGGGAAAAAAGACGTTAGCTTCAGATCTACAAATACCCATTCATCCTAACCCTACCCCATTACTCCTTCTACACTGCTGTCGCCATGGTTTCCAAAAGATAAAACCCGACAAGTAGAGCATAAACATGGAATTCTTCACATAGGTACTGAAAAATGGCTTTCTGTAGTGTTCATTTCTAAACAGATACTGAAACAGAAAAGAAAGACAGATATCAAACCAAACAAATATGCTAAGCACATTTTACTTTGTCTAAATAATTCTTTATAAGGTTTTCATGATTCAACAAACATATTATGATATAAATAATTAAGTTACATCTTGGATTTTAATACTAGAACCTTCAAAAGATCTTTTCCACTTGGTAACAACTCTTCTAATGGAAAAGTTTGTTATTTCTATCCCTACCAATTCAAAAATAGTGATAATAAGTTTGCCCTTTTCCTTGGCTTTAGAGAAATAAAGAAGATTTTTTGACAAAAGTAAGTTTGCCCTTTTCCTTGGCTTTAGAGAAATAAAGAAGTTTTTTTGACAAAAGAGGTGTCAGGAGTCAAATTTCTTTTCAGTGCTATAACTCAGTTTCATTTCAGAAACCCAATACTTACCTCAGTGAGCTCTGAGGATGCAACCCAAATGATATCAACCAGAAGTAAGATAATTGTACCAAAAAACAAGCGCTGTGATTTGGTGAGGCTGACCAGGCTTAACATTATTCTCTACTAGTTGAACCAGTTTCCATTCGCTACTAGACTAAAAAACAAATATCACTTTGTATTATTATTGAACATTCATGACTCAGGAAAAAATTGGAGTGTGCTTGTCTGTCAAAGTACATATATGCATGTGAAATTTGTCTGACCAACAGTATAAACATCATTTGTAACAATATATGGGTTAAATTGAAATTATAATAAGTAACATTTCAAAACCAATGTTGGGTTGTATGAAAGCCATATAGCACTATACAACCCAACACTGTCAGCTATTCTGTATTATACTCTAACTCAATACCAGGAAGAGGCGTGTTAATCTGTTAAACTGATTGAATTCATCCAGAGTACCCGAGAAGTTAGATCAATTTATGTATACAGATAGTTTCAATGAGAATGAACCTTTAGGTCCTAACCAAAAGTTACAGTTTCATTCTATCTATGCTTCACTTTTAAATCTCTTTTTTTTTAATCAAATTTTCCCCTTTCCAGGGTCAACCACAATTCTCGCCAGGTCAAGCCAGAATCCTATCCAAGGTCTGTCTGAAAATGTCTGAGTTTCAAAAATTGCTTTATAATTGTCTGTTTACACTGTTAAATATTTTGCTGAGGTTCAGAGAAAGTGGAAATGAAGTGTAGGAAAAAACTTGGAAGTTTAGATATTGACATCTATGGATACATACAGTATTTGGCAAATACACTAGTATACCACCGATTATAATAATATAAACAGGAATGCATGAATTAAGATCACTTTGTTTGAATTGTGATAAGGGCAGAAGACTCGGACTTTCAATGCGTGTTAAACATACACACAAAAAAAAATATAATTTGACTTTGAAGATATACTTAGAACTGTCTGTCAACCACAATAATTGTAAAGTGGTCTCTCTCTGTCTGCCTGTCTGTATATAAATTTATCTATATACTTGTGTTTTTCCAGAATTGGTGAAGGACATTAAGCGACTTATCAGTTTTGGTAATGCAGTTCACAGCTGATAATGCTCTGAATGATCCTGAATGTGGCTGAAGTGGCATAATCGAGCTGTGACACATATTTTTGCTTTGATAGTTATGAGAATAGAGGGTACCTGAAGACGAAAAACAAGCTAAATCGCAATCTTACCCTACCGTATTAAGATGCAGAACTGGATAACTAACGTATCAAATGCAATCTGCTATTACCTGATGCTAAATTCACTCAGGTCGGTTTGACGGTGTTACTTCCCCTCTTCGCCATGTTTGTTGACATCTCGCAAAATCACGCTCTGAAACGTGATCGCATCAGCGGCTGGTTTTCAATTTCAAATATTTTCTTTTGACCCTGCTTCCATACATAATTACAACCAGGTAAGGGTGATTTGGATACCAAGTTTTAAAGAGCCTTGCCTTAGAGAAGAGTCAGTAGGATAGAATTTATACTTTAATATACTTTTATATATTCATAATTGATACTACAGGTCATGGACAGTGAATTTGGGAACTTGACTTTTAGTGACCAAGAGATACGCGAGCAGTTGGAAGCTTTGGGTTATCACAATGTACCACAATACCGACTGGAGGAATTTAGAAGAGGTAACTGTATATTTCAGGGCATTGAGATGTAATAAATTTCACCAGCTTACTTTGCTTGTCAAAAACTTGAGATATTCATGGGACCAATTTCTTCATTCCACTTTGTACTCACAAGCAAAAAGTGAAAATCAGACAGAAAGATAGGATTTTATATCCCCCTGACACCTCCTTAAATCCACCACTGACTGTCCAGCACTGATGGAGGCAATTGATCAAATACTAGTATACATAGCATTACTGTATGGATAATAGCACTTAATAAATGGTCTTCCTAATTGAGACTGTTCCAATATTGTTTTGTAAAATGTCATTTGTGGCACTGTCATTTCAGACTTGGAAGAACTGGTTCAACGCGAAAAAGTGAAAAGTAGCAGAGAGTCATCTGCCAGCTCTGGATCCCAATTGACCAATTCTTACCCAGGTAGATACTGTTATTTGTGGCAAAAGTTTACATTCATTTTGGTTACTCTATCGTTTTCAGTTGTCTCCTTGATGGGTTAATGAATCAAAACCATGTGAAATAACTCAAGAATACCAAACTTGTAGAATACCATAATTCAAAAAATATTACTATGGCAGTTATATTAAATTTATGTACATACTTAAATCATTTAGATTTTTAAATTATTTATAGAATGGTGGACTGGTGTGGTATTCTTCAGTCATTTCATGCAGTTTTAGATCCATTTACTGATCAAGGTGACAATGAACATGTCTCAGAGGATGCTAGAAATACACCTTTCCACTTTTAGCAATCCTCTTCTGTTTCCTGTTACTAGCTCTTACTAAATTCTGCATTTGGTAGTGTTTAAGCCAGTCAAATCCATGATTTCAAAAGTTATCAGAAAAGGTTGTCTATAGTTGACGGTATATTTCTTAGCTAAATATATTTTCCTTCCAGATGACCAGACTTTGTATCGGAGAGGGCCACTTGAGGCGGTTAATGATGCTGCCAAGTTAGAAGAAGCACATTCTGAACACAGCGTTCCATTGGCAGTAAGTAGCTTTATAAAATACATTTGATGTTGCTCTGGCTGCATCTCTTCATTAGGAATCACCTTTTGTCTAGAGTGATATATGTGAGTCAGAGTATCTTATGAAGAACTAAAAAGTAAAATGGTGAAGCTAGTTTTATATAATAGCAGAATATTCGAAACAAACAATTTCAGTCAGCTTCAAATTTCACCTGGCGCAACTGGTTCTGTTCACAAGCTATAATAACATTTGTACCTTTTATTTTATTATAGGGCAGCCATGCCAGGTATGGCAAAGAAAACCAGTATACAACCCATGTTCCATATGGTAGAAAGAGCTCAAAGGACATAGGCTCTGTTGAATACCACTCTAGATACCCCCATGGTGTGGTAGGCAGCATGGGGGACCAGATGTATGAGGGGCATCCTGAGGACAGTTTTATTTCAGATACCACAAGTGATTCAAGGAAAATGATAAAGAGAAAGGTATTGAGGTATGTGTTGGCATCCAGAAGAAAAAAAATAATGTGAATTGATTGCAATAATATATAAATATATATGATTTCCAGATCAACTATGTTTTTAGATTTCTTTGGACCTGGTAAGCAAGTTTATTGGTTTCAATATTTAAATATGATTTTTTTTTCTTGGGGCATAACATAAGTTTTTCATCAAAGGTCAAATTGTGCACAGTAGGGTGGACCTCGGACAGTTAATGTTGAAGTAAACCAAAGGAAAAATATCAGTTGTGTAAACAGGCAGAAAATTGTGGATAGTTGGTTAGTGCTTAGTCAGCATGTTTTCTCACTTTCGTTATTATTATTTTCAGGAAACAAGATGGTCACTCAGTTATTGATGAGTCCTACACTGAAAGTGAAGCAGGTAGGGTGTTGAAATCCAAGAAGTTGAAAGGTTGAACAAACATCCATTCCAGTTAACTTATCTACTGGTAACTGATCTCCTGGTCAAATGGTCAAGTACTTGCAAAATTACTGTACCCATTAATATTTGAATTACCACCATTATAACTTACCCAGCCGATGTCCTAATATATTTTGAAATCTGGTGTTATTCCTTAGGTGATTTATCAGTATTGGAAGAGAGGTTAAGTCAACTCCCACTGTCAGACCCAGACACTGCCTCAGAGGATTTTACTACACAGAGGAGATACCCTCGCAGGCCATATTCTTCCAGAGACTTGGTAAGCTTAAATTATGATATGTATATATATATACAGTAAAAACTTAAAATTTTTCGTTGCTTAAAAATTAATTAATATTTTAAAATGCATAAATCTGACGTATATTCCCTCAATCTGCCAAAGGCTATCTACTATAAAGTGAGCTGAAGACAAGTACATTTTCTATTGCTTGCAATTAGAGTAAGTTTCATTGTGGATATATGTAGCTGTGCTAGGTTCTTAGAACAGTATAGATTTCGAAATTTTTGGTAAATGATGGCCTGCTAACATATTTTATGTTTGTCAGTGCACTGACCTAGTTTTGACAGCCAATGTGACCTAATCTCCTCAACTGCCAAAACTCTTTCTTGTGTGGATCAATCACTATTGCAATTTGTAATTTGTCAATAAAAGAGTAAAAACTCTGGCTTCTGACACCTTTTTGTTTTGGAAAATGTTTCCAGAAGAGAATACTTGTGAAATTGTTTTTGCATATGTATTTAGAAATGCTACCATGCGCTTAAGCATTGAAAAAAATCTATTTTACATATTCCAGTATTCCCGGATGTCAAATGATGATCCTTATCAAAAGTCAGGTATGGTTATTGTTTTTCTATATTATTCTTTCATAATAAAATTTTGATTGGTGGCCATCATTTGATTTACATATCCCATGTTGAAAGTATTTGGATATTGCAGTGTCCTGTAATAGAGAACAGGGAAAGTTAACTTAAGCATTAAGGGAAATTAAAGTTTGATCAAAATCTGTTCATGATCCAACAATTGCACCCTTTGCTTTCAAGCATGATATGAGAAAGGTGTATTTCTTACATTTTTAGATGGATGCAACTTCTCACACTAAATTTATTGGAAAGATATCTTGAAACGTCCATTGCTGAAGGAACAGTATAGTTTAAGTTTCGCATTTAAATGATTTAATATTTTCCTAGTCATTTGGCCCTCGGAGGGTAACCCTCATACAAAAGACCTGCGTAAGTGCGACCCAGTAAAGCGGTACCACCAGTTCAAACAGGCCTGGCAGCAGCAAAAAGCACCAGGGGAAAAGAAGCACAAAGGCCTTAGGTGGGATGTTAGGGAACAGATGCTTTATCACGATGAGGTGGTCAAGGTAAAGCTTGTCTAATCATTGAGAATGATGATATCATTCTGACATTGGTGTTATATTAGAAATTGAAAGTTTGTTTTTGCAATTATGACAACAGCCATAGTAACAAGAACAAATGGCATGTCAGTATTTGGACGCGTTGTGTGCCTAATGAGATCAGTCATTTGTAAATCAATTTGATGAAAATTCTTTTAAGTATAATTTTACTCGTTATATATTTGTACATGTAGGCGTGTACACAAGTGCGTATTGATGTAATAGAAGTTGTAATACCAATCGGTAACCAATGCTGTGTTTTTGACAATTTGGTGCATATTTTGAGTTTCTTTATTTTAGAAACCTCAAAGAGTGTTTGTCCCAAATACCTACAAAGTACCGACAGACAAAAGGCGCAAAGCTCTGCGATGGCAAATCAGGACAGACATGGCCCAGGGAGTGATGCCTTCAACAGGATATTGATACTCTGGACTTCAAGTCATATTATCCCATTAAGATGGTATAGAAAAATTATGGAAGATATGATCATGGAATATCTGAGAAAAGGATTTCTATAAAATTTAAATAATAAGCATGTCCTGTCCATGGCCTTAAATGACAGGTTTTGAAATGGCTTTTTTCCCAGTCTCCAAAGATGACACTTTTAGTGTACTGGCATAGGATCTCTGGTCCAATTTTTAGTTATTTTTCAATGGATTTACAATGCCCTTTACAAAAAAGTGTAAATTTCACATATGGTGTCAGTTATGTTTAAGCTATCATCACTATTTACTTTCTTATTCTGTCGACTCCTGTAGAGAAAATAAAAGTGACCGAATTTCCTTTTCTAAAATTTGCAAAATGTCCAGGTAGTGATTTCTTAACTTGTTCATTCTGTGTGTAAATGACACGGTTGCAAAGAATATTTTTATGGATAAATTTGTAAATATGTATATAACATCCAATATCAAATTATATTTTTTTTAAGAAATAAATTTGTACAAAAACACTTCATTGTAAACATTATTTTTATTATTATTATTATCATTTGTGTGTTTTTACAAAGTCTCGTTTTGAGTGTTCCAAGTTGATCATCCTCAAGTGACATCCATTTCCTAAAAAATGGCACATTGAGAGTTGTCTCTGGATCTAGCAGCAACATTACAGTCCAAGTTTAGCATACTTCTTTCAGAAAATCTGTAATGGTGGTATGCATCAAGTGAACAGAAACAAAGGGTTGCACAACATTTCTTCGTTCACTGGCCCAAAAGAAGTGATGAAAAAGTACTTTATCAAACTACTGACTGCCAGTCTTTCTGTCAAGTATTGGTACTTTGCTTCTTCTTTGCTTCCTCCTGATGATTGTGGAAGAGCATTTGTGTCCTTCTCATACCCAACTTTTCCTTCTAAAACTTCCAACATTTCCAGCCTGCCACTTTTGGTTCAGAGGACCTGGTTTATGCATGAAATGCAGAAGTCTCTCCTCAATTTTTTCAACAGCTCTTAAAGTTAGGACCAAAGTTTCATGTTTCAGCATACTGTACACATTCAAACCTGGAAATAATGATGTTAGAATTTTTTGAATCGACAAGCATTATTAAATAAGCATAGATTAGGACCTTATATCCAGGAATATTAATTCTTATAAAACTTTACAGATAAGTTGTCACTAAACAAAACTGACCAACGAGTCGTCTTTCCTAATTTCTTTTAACCAGTTACAGAAAATGAGATCTTTTATCAATGGAACAATCTCAGATGAGAGTTAAAGAAGGCACCTTATTACTGAGAAAACAATTACTGACTTGAGCTGTCAGTCAATATATAGTTTTGTAGACCTCACAAAACTGAAAAGTGACATTAACCTCATCAGTCTCTCAGTCTACATCACTTTTCTGAGGTTTGCAAAACATTATTACCTCAGCCACAGCCTATAATTGTAAAGTAAAGCTATAACCTTTAAAATCTTTTCATTTCAAAAATCAGAGAGTTGACACTTACCACTATGTCACCTTAATGTGTTGCTCTAGATCTACCACACAAATATAAGGACACAAGGTAATATAGAAAATATGATTAAAAAACACTGGAACTTACCATAAACTGGCATAACATTAAAATGGCCAATTGGGTCTGTTGCAAGAATTATGTTTTCTGGCATGATGTCATCACTAAAATATTAATAAAGAGCAGAAAGACCGATGATATTCAACCTTTTTGAACAGATTAGTACACCACATTGGCTCTTAAGGCTGCTACCAGAACGTAATCTATATAAGGTCCAATCACACGTTATTAAGTTCCAGACAACTAGTGAAAAAATCTTGCACAAAGTCATATGACAAAATGAAGGGCTTCAAGGACAATACCCGTTCTACAAATAATGCAAACTTACTCATCCACAAAAAGTACTGACAATCCCCAGTTTCTGTGTTCTATCAGCTCCTGCAGGTACTGAAATGGAAAAAAAGACAAATTCTTAGTGTTTCACTAAAAACTGGAATGCCACAGTGAGGACTGTCATTAATAGAATCTAAAATTCAGAACTTGGTACTAAGTTGATGGCAATTGTATTACAAATTGTACTACTTGAAGGTAATTTGTCCAAATGTAAGCTTACATTTCACTGCTTTTTCAATAAATTATCAATTCAAAATATTTTTAAACAATCTACAAACGAAGAAATATACTCCAGTATTTAAAAACAAATCCTAGTGAATTATAATAAATATAACCAATTACCTCTGGATCATCTTGTGGAATATCAAGAGAATCTACTATGTGAAGGTTGTCCTAAAATAATAATAAGTATTATTTAAAAAGTGCAAACTTAATTGCAGATACAATGATAAATGCGAAATCAAACTTTTCATTATCACTATTCATATGATGTGTGTCATGAAATAAGAGATGTTGCAAAATGTCAACATTATGAATGCCAATTAAAAGAAAATACATATGTTAAATAAAGCACAAAAAAGGGAATGCACTCTCTTTAGTTTTCCAGCACCAGCATTTGATAAAACTCCAAAAATTGTGAATTACACCATCAGTGAGAAAACTCTCAAGTATGCCCTTTCATTCAAGGCACATGCATATGCTGGTTTAACCTAGGACATATGGTTTTGCATGACCCAGGTTTAATACATAATAAATCCTGTATCTACCTGAGCATATTTGCAGGTGAGAGTAGCTCTTAGCCCCATCACTCTCTTCCCAGTAGGTAGCATAAAGAAATAACTTCTTGGACCTCTAGGACCCTTTGCTACTCCACCTTGTAGATAAAATTACCAAAATCTTTAGAAATATAATATTTCAATTAATATATCTATCAATAACTATGGAAATATCAGTGGGAAGTGTAGACTAGTAGGGTCCAATGGTTATGATAATGAGCTATCAATAATCTTTACCCACCATACAAAAGGTAAGTGCAGTAGAGCAGTGTTTAATATCTTTTTAAAAACCAAAAGACTTAATAGAAATGAGCAGACTGTCAATTTATAATACCATTTAATCAAGCTAACTTTCATCTGATAGCAGCCCATTGCTTCAAAATGACAAAAAACATTTAATTTTGTAAATGTGGTTATGTTCCAATTAGAAACATGGCACATACACATGACCTAATAAACCAACTTGACAATATATTGCTACATGTGGAATAATTGACGCAACTATGCCTCACTACAACACTAAGGATGAGATAAAAGACAATTGACGCTTAAAATGTTACGTTTGTGTGTACGACTGGGTTCCCACAGATTTAGATTGATCCATCTGGATCAACCTAACTCCCTGGGGGTTCACGCTAAATTGCTGTCAGCTTCTGGGAGCCCAGCGCACACAAAAGTTAATTAGTAGGCAGGACAGACATTTAAGCTGGCTAAGCTGACAGCAATCTAGTGAGACTACCCAGGGGGATAGATCGATCTAAATATCTGTGGGAATGGTCTCTATGTGCGAGTGTTTGCGCGTGTACTACCTCCCTTCCAAAGGGGCGATCGCCTATGGCCATGACGNTAGGCGATCGCCCCTTTGGAATGGTCTCTATGTGCGAGTGTTTGCGCGTGTACTACCTCCCTTCCAAAGGGGCGATCGCCTATGGCCATGACGTGCTTTATTTTGTCCTTTCTGTGGCCAAGGTTTCTTTTTTGACCCCTGTACCTCTGCTCTTGTTTTGGTAGTGGCATAATCCTGTAAAAGATTTAACATGAATCCAAGGGAGCTTCAAAGCAAAAATACTGCAGTAACCATCTCTAAGTGGTATGCAAAGTATGTTTTCATGAAATTGTTACTTCATGTTTTTCATTTACCAAATTACAAGGTGTATTTAAGGTCTTTGTTTGAAGGTTGTAATACTTGTATTTTTGAATGGTACTTGTTGAAATTATATATACTTTCACAACTGACTGAGATTGCTGGATTGAAATTCCACTTATGAACACTTACCTAACAAACCATTCTATGCAACATGCCATAAAATACCTGTAGGTGCACACTGAATTTTTTTTTCTTTTTTGGTTGAAGATAAATTTTAAAATAAACTTCTGCCAAACCATTTTTAAAGATTTAAATTAAGTTAAATAAATTTATTTTAAATCTATTTATTTATCTACTTATTCAATTTTTAAAGTCCAATGTTTAATTATCAATTTCAACAGAATCCAGTTCATAATTGATTTTTGAAAATGCAGTGATAAATAGGAATGAAAACTTTTTTGTATTAACATGATTCCAGTTGATGAAATCCTTTGACTAGTTGGGAAATGGTCTACCAAAGCTGGAGGAAGCATCTCCTGTTGCATTTTATATAATATACATACACCAAAACCTGTTTTTGCCAAATTGAAGATCCCTTTGTTTTTCAATTTTCCTTTAAAAACTGGACTTCCAGCAGCAGAAGGCAAATTATTCTTCGACCATGACATCCATATACTTACTATTCTCCTGTATGTTTGCTGCCATAAAACATTATTGTGAATTATATCTAGTCTGAAAAAAAGTAAAACAGAAAAATAAGATAACATACAACATATTTAACTAACATCTTTTCAATATTTGAGAGTGATTCTAGAAGTCTAATTATTGTACACAAATAATGATCTGCTGATTAGCATACTTACAAATATTTATGCCAACACAAACACACACACACACACACACACACACACACACACACACACACACACACACACACACACACACACACATTTACCTTGGAAATGTTGCAAATATGTCAGGATGCAAGTTGATAATTCCTAACTTCTTGTTTTCTATCTGCCCCAGTGTCTCCAACCATGCTAAACGTGGCTTGATGTAAGGGTTGGGATGTTTAATCTCCCTCTCTGTCATTAGAGGTAGAGACAATCTACCTGTTCCTTCTTCTGGAGTTGAAAAGACAGCAAGCACATTTAAATATAATATTTATTCAATGCTTTATCAAACTTAATACAATTTGCTACCAGCCTGTAAGCCTCATAAAGGGTTCTGGCAGGGCAAAAAATAGATGCTCAGGTCCATAAATCAAACTAAATACAATTATAATATGAAGGCAAAATTCTTCTTAGTTTTCTTGTGATGAATCTTGGGTACATTTAACTCCAAGCCCTTTTCACATCAATATTTACTTAGACCCATGCTTCTTATTTATAGATTTACTGCTTTTTTTTCATTTTAATAATAGTAAGATGTAAGCATGAGGGGATGGCTCAGACTTCAAAATGGCATTCCTCTGTAAAATGGGCAAAAAACAATTTAAAAAAATATTTACTTAGACCCAGTCCACTCTTTGTAATCCTAACAAGTAGATAGCATTTTCATTTCCGAATCAGGGGACAGGGGGATTACTTTTGCAAGTTCTCCACTAGTTTGCTTTCAAGGTGTTTTGTTTAGTGAAGAAAAATTTATTATGTTGAGTAAGAGGGCTCCATTTAGGTGACAGGTAGGTTATCAAGTTCTCAAGATTTTTCTTAAAGTGGACCGGTGTAACATAAAAATCTGACTCCCATGAAAATCTGACTCCCCCACTCAAATTAAAAGGGATTTATGAATGGTTTTTTTGGGGGGAGTCAAAATTTCATAGGGGATCACATTTTCATTATGAAAATCTGACTGGGGAGTCACATTTTCATAATGAAAATCTGACTGGGGAGTCACATTTTAGGGGAGTCAGATTTTCATGGTACACCTGTATATATTAGAGTATTGCCTGGTGTTAACTGAATACTTTCTCTTCAGGGAAAAAAAACATTAAAAAATTTTATTCCATCCAATACTTTACCTCCAAGCACATTATCACCAGCTGGCTGGGACTCTTGGTTCAATGTACTAAGGGTTCTAGAAAACTGAAAGAGAAAAAATCTCTAGATGTCTTTTCTCACCAATAATATAATTTCTTGTATAATAGTATTATGGCATCAACTTTCATTTCAAATTTGATTTTAATTAAAAGCCCAACCTGGTAAGCCAGTATGAGGTCTAAGTGAGAGCTTAATGATTATTTTATCATTTCATTTATATAATTACATATTGTTTATTGTCTTTATCTACATACTTCATTTTCAGACTAAGGGACTATTCCCACAGATATTTGGACCGATCTATCACCCTGGGGAGTCTTACTAAATTCATATCAAATGCAACTTAACCGGCTTAAACATCTGTCACGCCTAGTAAAGCTGTTAGGGGTAATTATCTTTAGCCCCTAGCTGATTCGGTAGGCATGACAGACATTTAAGCCAGTTCAGTTGATCTAGCAATTTTGTGAGACTCCCCAGGGAGTTAAACCAATCCATACTGATCGATCTAGGCATAGGAACCCAGTCTAAGAGACCACTCCCAGAGACCATAGTACTAACTTAAATTTGGATCGAACTATCTCTAAGGGGATTCCCGCTTAATTGCAATTAACTTGGGCGGCTTAGATGTCTGTCACACTACTGAAGCTGACAGGGGGTAATTAACTATCGTTTAGTAAGTGTACCACACGTCTAAGCCACTTGAGCTGTAAGCAATTTAGCGAGAGACCCCGTGGAGATGGACCGATCCTGTTAGATCGATCCAGGGATGGGAACCCAGTGACAGTCTATCGAAGACACCCTTATTTGAGCAAACGAAACAAAAAATCTCATATAAATCATGACACTGTTAGTGCTTCATTTGCCTCAGTTTTCGATCTTACATGCTTAGTACTTATACTTTACTGAGACAAGTGCTACAATGCTTACTACTCGTATGTACTAAATGTACTAGTTGCCGTTTTAAATATTTGGACCGATTTCTCGGTCTGCATACTTCTCCTGAACCTAACACAGCCTTAAAATAGCATTATTACTTACCCGTAGGGGAATATGGGGTCTTGTTGTATTTCCAATATCTCTGACAAAGAGACTTAGAAGTCGATTAACACTCGGTAGCATGTCTGCGATGGCGAACTGTCTCAAAACACATTGCTATCAATCACAAAAGTTAGTTTCTGAAATAAAACAATTATAATATTCGGCATATCTTCCCTCTTAAATAAATAATTAGCATAACTAAATATTGAATTATTTTAAAAATAGGTAAAATATTGGTAATATTTTAAAAAATAGTATATTTTGCAATAATATTTATTCGAAACTACACAGGTAGTATACCGGCATAAAACAACAAAGCCTGCCACCGGCTCGTGTATCACGTTTTGGCACAAAACAAGCGGTTTTAATACATGGTCAACACCTTGGTCAACACAGGGGCTACTAGTAAGAGCCTGGGTGAAATAAGAGAAGATGTTTTACCACGTAAGCGATCCTAGTGCCTTTTAGTTTTAAATGTATTTTTCTTAACTGGCAGAGTTGCAGTGCGAGTAAACTTACTAAAACTTAAAGTGATAGAAATAGTAAAGACCGACTAAAAGTTGCTACTACTCACCTAATCGGCTTATGAAGTTAAAAATTTTAAATATTTGATAATTTATTCAAGTTATGGTAGGGGACGCGACTATGATACTAGATTTTAATATATATATATATAGAATATAGGAATATAAAAGGTACAGGTAAAGAAAAATTTAAAATTTATCCACAGTTTCTGTTTCCACTCCTCTTCAGAATGTCTGAAATTTTCTCTTTACCTCTCACATGAGGTGGTAGTCTTGGCAAGACTGAGCACAGTTTTAATCTTGTAGCTAAGCTAGTTTATCTTATCTTGTCACCTAGAATTTAATAGTTTATATGTCCATACATTCATATCTCAATCTCATGTCACTTCACATGGTAACTTCAGATGTCATTGACCATGTTAACCAATTAATTGACTGACTTTCCTGCTAACAAAGTTTATCGTAACTCCTATTCCAGGTTTCCTTAGAACATGAAATTTTGCTCCACCCAAGGTACTTTGGTCCAAATCTTCTAAACACTGTCAAACAAAAGCTCTTCACAGAAGTGGAAGGTACTTGCAGTGGGAAGTAAGTAGATTCATGATGTCAATTAAGAACCATTTCATGGTATATTTAACTTCTGTAATACCCCTTTTCAATCATGAAATCTTTACCACTTCTATTCTTCTCATTTTAAAAGAGATTTTTAAAGGAATAGATGAGATTAAAGTGCTTTACTTGTTACTCTTTTTCTATAAGTTAAGAAGATATTAGGAAAGCAGCAATGGAAAAGAATGTTGCAGTAGAAAAAGAATATCTGGGACATGAATTTGTAACTAGACTTTGGATTTGATTTTGCTCAGCCAACATATAAATCTTTTATTATGGTAAGAGTAAAAACAGTATTTACATCTTATCAGAAATTTTTTTAAACATATATTTATGGTTTCAATGCTTCCTAGTGGTCAAAGACAGGTAGTAAAACCTTACACTGTTGCACTGATTCTGATGTTATTAGGTATGGGTTTATCATAGCAGTTACCACAATAGACAATATTGGAGCAGGACTCATTCAGCCCAGCAGAGGATTTGTACTGTACCCAATAAAGTACAAGGCAATTGTATTCAGACCATTTAAAGGGGAAGTTGTTGATGCCGTGGTCACTCAAGTCAATAAGGTAGGGAGGAAGGTTTGGTGAACTTTTTTAGGTATGAAAAGTTTGTTTTCTTTATTCATAGCATTGAGGATTGATAGCATTTTGACAAGATTTCCAAAGTAACATATATAAAATTAGAATTAAATCAAATAAAACAATATTTTATTCAAAAGTACAAAGCAGAGTAAAGTAAATGCATAATTATATCATTTTCTCTAAACAACACTGTCTGAGACTACACTTCTCTGTCTGGCATACACATACAATTTGCAGGCTGATCATAAACTGAGTTACCTGCAGTGCTGAATATGCTGTATATTTGACATAGATTAGCATAGCCTGGGTGTTGTAATTACTTTCATCAAAGCCTGCTACTAAAGTTTGTCATTAAACAGATATTTTGGATTATATATATAGCCTTGGTGTTCTTTTATTTCTCTAACATTAGAATTAAAGAAATGTAAGCTGTCTGGTTGAAAAAAGTACAAAAGCCCATTCTAAATTACATTTGAGGTTTAAGTCGTGGAAAAGGAAAAATCTAAAAACTAAAAACTTTTACTAAATTTGGACACAAAAGTTGCATGTTTACTTCAGTCATTATTGGGGCATCATTTGTGTTTGTATAATAATTTTTATTTTTAGGAGAGGAGGTGCAATTTTCTTGCTCAGAATTCATTGTCTTTTAGTAAATTATCATGGAACTTTCAGTAGTTATTTATCAATCTTTAGTTCAACTTTTTATTTGTTTTATTTTTATCTTGAGGGCATGATCCCCAGCAGGCAGAAAGCAATGAACCAGAGATATAATTTCATGTTTTAAGTGCTAAAAGCTCAGTCACAGTCTGCAGAATGAATTGTAGAAGCAGGTTCATGAACTTTTCCCTGAAGCTGCAAAGTGTTGTGAAAAGTGAATTTATAACTGCACTGGTGACTTACAAAACATCCAAATGATAATGCACATTATTTTCTCGAATCACACTGATAATTTTGCTTTTCAAATTTTCAGGTTGGATTATTTGTTGAAATTGGTCCTCTTTCATGTTTCATTTCAAGACATGTAAGTTGTTGAGTATAATCTTCGAATGATATTCATCATTGTATTTTATATTTTCATTTGGAAACGATAAAACCTATTTTTTGATAAAAAGTCAACTATATGTCAAATATCAGCATTAACATGTGCTAGTAATTGCAGCTCAAGAGTAATTGAAGAAATTTAGACACAGGTTCAGTTTACCTGTCTAAAGAAGCACAAAACATGTGGTGCTATAAATGCAGTTAATCAAATTGATTTTTCAGTGCATTCCAGGAGATATGGAATTTGATCCCAACTCGAATCCACCTTGCTACAAAAATAAAGATGAGGTATGCTCGCTCGCTCTCTCTCTCTCTCTCTCTCTCTCTCTCTCTCTCTCTCTCTCTCTCTCTCTCTCTACCTCTCTCTGTGTGTGTGTGTCTGTGTGTGTGTGTTTGCAACATTTCTATATTATGTAAAAAATATCAGTTTTGAAAATATTGAAGATTTATGAAGCTCTTGATACTATTTACCTATATTACAGGATATGGTAATACAACAAGATGATGAAATTCGAGTGAAGGTGATTGGTACAAGGGTAGATGCAACAGACATTGTGAGTTCAGAATACCTTACATAATTTAAAAAATCCAGTAAAATCAAACAAACTCATTCAAATTAGAAAATCATATATCGTCAGAAGTGGGATATAAAGTATGGGTTAATGATCTCCTCCCCCTCCTAAAACCATGCCCCCCCCTCCCCCCCCCCCAAAAAAAAAGAAGGAAAGAAAAGCAAATGAAGACATTAGGCCCTACAAAGTGATTCATGTAGAACAATTTTCAATAATTTTCCATGGTGTATGCCCTGCTGCTCCACTTACACTATTAAGAGCTTAACCTGCTCCTTTTTTTCTGTTGTCAAGGGGATACACTGCTGATTAAGCATTAATGTAGGGAGAAAAAGCATACTTTAAAGTCTACAAAAGTATGATTCATATACTAAGGAATTTGCCAGATTGCTCCATTTTTATTTTCAAAAGAGTGTTGTGGCATTCAAAATGATCCTTCACATTTAAGGAGACAGCAGGTGCTTTTATCTACCAACACCCCTCATCAGTAGGTCTATACCACTTGACCCTTTTCTCGCCAAGTTACCTGACGTTACGTAGTGATCTTCCAGCTAAGGGTTACCTATTACAAAAATATCACATAGTATTACAGACAAACACTATCCAGTGTAGAAACTGTTTACATATTTTAATTTTTCTCCTTTGGAAATTTGCATTTGTACTCTTGCCTATGATTACCAACTGCAAAAAAGATCACATGTTTTTTTTAGCACAACCACTGTCTAATGTAAAAACTCTTCCTATACAAATTCTAATTTGCTGCTTTTCCTTTTTAAAAATCCTCTATGCCCCTGCCCTTTCCCTTGTCGAGTTTGGCCTTGCACTTGTTGTGTCACAATCATGAAAGTACTGCACTTTTGATTTTATAAAAACTATTGGCAGTTGACAGCCAGTCATGTTATTAGTATCCAACTTTTACTTTGTTCACCTGCAAACACAACAAATAATAATTTATAGGATGCGATTTTAGGACCAATTATTTAAAACTGGGTTTCTAAACTTTGATCTTAAAAACAATGTGATCAGTTACAAACATTTCTTGCACTGACACTTTTAGTAAGATGCAATTTTCTAGCAAATTTGATTACATCGAGAAAGGAAGCCGCATGCCATTGAGACCAAACGAATCAGTCTATTCCAATGTGACAAGATTTTCCTGCTCTTCCTAATACCCTGGAGCCCTTTTCTGACCCCACATAGGTGCTGATGAAATTTGGAATCTTTAAAAAGAAATATAGACTACTATGTAAAAGTGTTTTGGAATTAATTTATCCAAAGATTGATTTATATGTGATCATGTCTGCTGTCTTTACTATTTTTATTACTTTTATTATTATTTATACTTATTTTTTTACAGTTTGCCATAGCCTCTCTAATGGATGATTATTTAGGTAAGTGATATTTTTCTACATGACCCATACCTCCAGAAATGTGATTTTTCTGCAACATTACCATTCTACACAGTGTGTTATTTTTCACTTCATTTAAGGGAAATCTCATTAATGTCAATTTTTTTTTTATTCTAAAATCTAGCTCACGTCTGGTAAATTCTGGAATGCAATGCTTTTTAATGAAGTTTCTAGAGACAGATGTTCCATGTACTGAAAAAGAAACATTCAATAAGCTTGTTGTCCAAACAAACTTTCATCTATGATCAGATTTGCATTTTTTTACCAGAGACTTTTATTAATGATTTAATTTTAAAAAGTATGATCATAGTGATAACATAAAAGAGCTCTGATGTGAGTGTTGGAGCCTTACAGATCCCACAACCAACAGAATATACAGCATACACTATATGTTACGTCTGTAGATTTTGTGTCAGCCAAAATTGACATATTACTTCGGTTATGATTGAATGCACAAAATAACATCAATTTTGTTTCTGATTTTAAGTATCTGTTTTCATTGTATAAATGGTATAAAACATACTAGTATGACTTGAGCTGTGTCAACTGTCAGGGTCATGCCTTCAATCCCAGTTTAGAATTTTGGTTAGCAATTGAGATGCAGTTATATTACCTGTCTTGGTGCAAACTTGTTATCAGGATATTTGAAAATTAGAAATTCTGATTTGCATCAGACTTGCTGTAGTCATTTGTAGTGCTAAAATACAGGCCAGATTAGAAAATGGTCCTATTTTTGAATTAGCTGAAGAATTTAATTGAGCATCACACTTTACAAAACTGGTAATACACTACAAAATGTAAAGCAGAGTACAGTTGGCAGGTTTTCCAGAACTGTGCATATACTAAATTGAACACTTTTAGGAAAGTATTTTTTTAATACTGAATCTGGATTTTCAGAGATTAATTTTGTAAAGACATTTTGGTTGAAGGTGGTTATTTTAACACCTTACTGAAATTCATTTTACTGAATTGCTGGATTTTAGTATAGATTGTACTGAGTAAGAATGTTGTCTACAAGATTATTCATGAATGGTGAGCAGGCAGGTTGTTACTGATGCAGTCTTGTGATCATGCGTCACATTTTGCTGTATTCCCACCTTGATACTCCCTTGATGTATGGGAACCGGAAACTTTGATAAAGGTCAATGATCGGAGTGACAGAAAGTGGAGCAATTGATAGCTTTTATCGGGAAAACAGTTTTTACATGAGGACTTGGTGGCATTGAAAGTGAAATTCATCTTTTTCGGTGATAGATGCATGTAGTAACAAAGCATCAGTCAGACGGCGTGGCAGGATACTTAAGATGAGTCAAGGCATTTATTTTGTCGATTAATTACTTTTATTGCAATTGGACAATGGTTGTGGGGAGCATTGACATTCCAGCAAGGGGTGCTGATGGGCTGGGTGAAAAATGCTGTTGGAGATTAAAGCTGGATCCTGACAAGCAAATAGGCAGGCCTCACTTAGTTATTATCTCTACAGGAAGTTGGCTCACATCTTATATATGTGCATATGCATGGTTAAAATGATCAAAATATATATTGAAGATTTTGCATCATAAATATTGTATTGTACTTTGATTGATGTTTTCATAACAGGAGTCTCCTAATAGAAAGTAGAGAAACATTCTGCCTCATTTCAAAAGCATTTTTAGTCAAGGATAACTGTATGTACAAGTGAAATTAAATGCTGCTGCTGCTTGGTGTGAGCATTAGTTCAGTCCTAAGCTATGTACAAATAATCCCAGTGATAGTTGTAAGCTAGTGGAGCTATACCTACATGTGGCCACATGCATTGGTATTTGTTTAGGTTTAGATTTCAATTTTATAATTTATAACAACTTGTCCAGTTTGTTGTCTCTGATATTTCTTGATGAACCACTTTTACAGCAGCTAGCTAATGCACATAGGTTCCTGGCAGCTACAGGCAACACCATAGAGTCACAAGAGTCACATAGAATCATTACAGGGATAAGGGAAAAATGTTTGCATCCAACCTCTTCTGGCATTTTTATGTACAGGCTCTGATATGCCTGTAAACTTGGCCATTACAAGAGTGCAGCCTAATCACCCCAAACTGACCTAGACACCAGCCCATCTACATTTCTTTTTACCATTATAACTTCCAAGTCTCAGGTATGCTTCAGACTAGTTGGGGGCATCTGTTGGACTAGAATACAGGCCAAGTTCGAAAATGGTCAAGACCATATGATATGTTTTTTTTTGTCCAGAGGTTATCCATCTTAGCATAGATATTGCTGTATCAGATCCTTCAAACCCTGTGTATTACCCAAGCACTGTTCTTCAAAGCATACTAGCTCTCTTTCCAACCAATACTTAGATCTACTGTGAATCTCTTGCTTTTATGCTGAATTGCCAGTTATTAAGTTATGTTCTGAAGCTTTAAATTGGACCTTGTCTGGGAATTTCTAACATGATTTTTTTAGCAAGGCACTGGTTCACAGAGTAAGCTCAATGAAAGATTTTGCTCACTTTATTGCACCATTATCTGCTTCTCTTTTCTAGCAGTAGATGGAATATACATAGGCATTTTCTGGTGAAATGAAGGGCCCTGCTGATGGTTCAAAATACCAAGATAAAGGCCAAATGAATACTGAATGATGTTAGTTGATATCATCATATTAAATTACCCATTAGTGAACCTGGCACTGTTGATATTGTTGCTGTTGTAATTAATGTTAGTAATGATACATCATTGTAAACTGTTCTGGATTTTGCATCCAGATATTGATACTAATTTATTTAAAATAAAAAGTTGGTTTTACATTTGTAGTGTAAATGCACTTGAATATTGGCATGAGAATCACTTAAAATGATCATATGTTCCATTGCAGTAGTTGAACAAGCTTTAGAAAAAAAGAACAAAAAAAAACTTTGTTCTATTTGTGATATGGATAAGGGCCTACTTTTTGGGGCAATATTTGCATCATTTTTCATGTTAGGGGTGCCGTTACTTTGGCCTTACTAAGTTACTCTTACAGACCTTTTTTGATGGATAATCCTCTTAACTAAGGTTTTTTCAATGTATTCTGAGAGTACCACTCAAGAGGGTGTGAAGTTTTAGAATTAACCTCTGGCATGTCAAGCTCTTTATTCACTTAAAAGTCTTTGGAGTAGTATTGGTTTAAGAACAGCTTAACCTTAATAACAGCGTATTTAAGCCAGAAAATTTCCACTCTAAAACTGCTTACATGTAACGTGCTGTTTTTGTCTTCATGTATCAGGAAAGACTTGAAATTGTGAGGTGGATTAGTTATTGGACAGTGATTTTATCATCTTTCAGTCTATGATTGAACTGATGTACTCTTATTAGTTCATTCGTCTGTATTTTGTGGGTGATGTAAATGTAACATGTTTACAGTGTTACAAGTTTGCTATCTGTTTGTTTATTTGTTTATTTTGCTAGTGTATTTAAGCAGTACTGCTAAATTTTCCGTTTCACTTTAATTACCTAATTTTTTGTACACCATATATATATCAAGGCTGTAGCCAGCAATTTCAAAATTGAAAAATTCAGAGGCAAAAATTCCATGAAAATGCCACATTTCTAAGTGATGTTAGTGACTAGTGATGTTTCTGGATAGAACTAAACACATAAATGCTTCAGGCTTTTGATTTTTTGGTTCCTGGAATGTAATGACAGTTGCTTATGCAATTAAGAGTCATGTTGCTGTTTTTCCTGGTATCCTTAAGGTCAGATTAGCTTGGAGGATAGTTCTGCCAGATGGGCGAGGGATTCAAGCACTCTCCTGTGTTTTCGTATATAGACAGCTGTGTATCATGATCAGCATTTAAAAGGCAGACACAATTTTCCAGGGGAACATTTAAAGAAAGAAAGAAAAAAAAACTAAAATGGCTGATCCGTCTTAATTTTTACATGCCAAGTTAAGTCAATTATCTTCATTTTAGTAATATGTATGATTAGACACCTAGTCTAAACTTAAATCGTAATGTTTACCTGCTGAGTGACATCATGTGGTCCATTTTTTTCCTCTGGATATTTTACGTTGAGGCACAGGTTTCTTAGGCAATGGTCATTTATATGGCATAATTAGTATGTGTTTCGAGAGGGATGCATGTTAGCTAGCAACTCATGCATGTGTATGCGTGCATGTGCATATGTTAATACATTGTGTCTGCTCAAGTTCGTTAGTGAAACTCCTGCATAAAACCTTTTTAGTTCTAACACTTGCAGTTTTCCAGGTAGAAGATACCCCTCCTTTGATGGGTGTATTTATGTACCTAGTGATAGATGTTCCCATTAGTAGTTATCAAAACATGGCAGCACAACTTGCTACAAACCCTAGTTAACAAACTGAAGGAAAGCTGTCTTGCAAGATAGCTCAACAGGTTATTTGCACTGAAATTACAAGCTTAATTGTGAAAACTTTCAAAAGACTACATGTTCGCAAGCATATGTTTACCAGTGCTTATACGACAAATAAATCTATATATTGTAAGCAGGACAGTAGAAGTTGCCCTAAGTGGGAATTAACACAGCCATAGAAAATGCTATCATATGCCAGAGAAATGAGAGCTTCCCTTAAGCTTGCAACCTTTTCCCTTTTATTATTAAGGAAGAAATTATTGTGCCGGGTACATCTCTTAATAGTTCCGTTTATGTGGTTAATTGACACATAATGGTTGCCATGCACAGCAGTCAGCCATACTAAAAGACAGAGGTCACTCATTATTTGGTTGAAAATTATATTACCACAAAAAAGGAAGAGAGTAATGTCACAGTTTCCTCATTGGTTTATGTTCTCTAATACGTTATATCAAGCTCCCAAGTCTGTTTCTTAATAATATTCCTTTACAAAGTTTTATGCTACATTTCTGTAATTTGGTATAACAGTTTATGGCATAATGCAACATATAACTATAACGACATCCATTGTTGTCCACATATGTATATTTAACATTGGTGCTACATTGATAGCACAATTTACTTTCAAAAACTTGTTTAACAAAGTTATAAAGCCATACAATTTTTATCTATTTCTGCTCCTGTCAATGAATTAAAATAAAGTGTGTGTGTGTGTGTGTGTGCGTGCGCGCGTGTGTGTGTGTGTGTTTGCATGTGCACATACATGCATTTGTGTGATGATTTACTACCTTTTCACCATAAAGGGTTATTGCTTTTGTGATGATAATCAATAATCTTTTTATCTTTCCAGGATTGGTAAGCTGATGTACCATGTTTGGAGGTACTTTCTTTTGCAAGGAAGCTGGAAGAGAATCATTTGAAGGATGGCAAGAATGGATTTACAGACAGAGAGAACTGAACTCTGAGCACTCTACATAGGCTGACATAAACAATTCCTAATTAGTATTACAGAGATATCTTATTGAAGTACTTTTTTAACATGTGATCATTTTGGGTCAGTCTATTAATTAACCTGTTGGAGTACAACATGGAACATGTTTGTCCATGCAGGCCCAAAATTTTACCTGGTCTGTGGAGAAATATAATAGTTGATAAAATATAAATAAAATAGTTGATGAAAGAAAAATTGCATAAAAGAGCATACGTAGCTGTACATACTGGAAATAGCCCCTGGATTTCACGAAGCGTTTCTAAGCAAAAGCTTGAAATAAGAAAGAAGAAAGAAAGGAGAGCATAGCCAAACATTTGGCAGAGCTCACTCACCATTTGGTTTAATTTTTGTATATACAAAGCGAAAGCATTTTAAGGGTTCAGAGATAAGCCTCGGAGCCTTAGAGTGTGGTTGATTGATAGAGAAACAGTGCGTCACGTTTACTTTCAAGTTTGTAAATCCCGCATTACTTGTTTAAGTGTATACATTATATTTATCGAGACCAGCAGAGTGGATGTTGACACATAATGGATTTGGTCCAAACTGTCTGGACAAGTATATGTTTCACAGTCCAGATAGAAATCCAGGCAGGTATCTTAATTGCTTAGGCACTATTGCATCCAAAATTTGCCTTATGCAGATTTTAATTATATCATACAAATCAACCTACTGTCTGCAAAGATTTTACTTGGTCTTTCTTTCATATGCCACTTTTGAAGTACATAAATATTTTTTATTCCATTTTGAATTTGCTGAGCTTTTTTATTGTGTTTAGTCGATATAACAAAAAACCTATCAATCAAAAGAAAAGCAGTACTTACTACGACCCCTTTTAAGGGTCACCAGATGATTAAGATTTGCTAATTCAAAACCTGTCGAGGCAGAATTCCAAAAGGAATCGTACTTCAGTTATGCTCTCTTCACAATCTCTCCAAAAGAGACGTACCTGTTCACTACAAAGCCGGACAGGTTTTGGTGTGTGTTTTTTTCTATTTTAATACCCTGTAAATATCTACCACAGGCCTGTTAATTTGCCGTGTTAAGAAATCTAAAAGAGACATCCCCGCTTTGTCCTAAATGTAAATGTATAAAAAGTGGATGGTGGTACAAACACAGGGGATGCTTGCACCTCTCTGATCGCATCATTGTTCAGTAATGGTTTGCGTAGTAATGGCACTCCTATCTGTACACCGCAGGCACATGGAAATAGTCCAATTAAGTCAGGGGCGGATTTAGGCCGTCTTCTGGGTCTTCCGGAAGACGGTCAGATTTTCAAGTTTACATTAACGGGTAACTAATTTTTCTATCGGAAGACGGTCAAAAATGAAGAATGGATCAACAAAGATAATTTGGAAACTGTCAGAAAATATGTCTGAATCCGCCCCTGTAAGTCGTGATGGTAGAGTGGAGATGAGGACGTTTTTGTATACGATCAGCGGAGATAACGTTTCAACCAAGTAATGCATTTTCAAAATGAAAAAGTAAACTTAATTTCTGCATGTCAAAATAAACAAGTATACATGGTGACGAATTGTAATTTTAATCAAAAAGTGGGGCAATGAACTGTATTGACTCTGTATGGATGGTTTATCTTGTCGGTGGCGCAGGGCAGTCAACACACACAGCGCATGTGGTGGCACTAAATAAAGTAGAATGATAAGTATCGTACAATCCTCATTTGATTTTGACTAATGACAAAAGATTTAAAGTGCAATCTACGGGAAAATTGATTTCCACATATTTAACATCTTCAAATTTCAGCGACACGCGATATATGTCAAACATGAGTTAGTATTATGTTGATTGAACATGGGTCGTTTAACTCCTCTAGATTTCTTGAAAACGTGCGTCCTGCGGAAAATTGTGCACTCCACTGCGTCCTGGATGCTATGCACATCCTTTGAAGTCTATCTAAGATATTGGTGGTCTGCACAAGAAGAACAAATGTTTACCTTGCTTTTGTAAGGTCCATTAACTTTGAATATGTATTTGCTGGGTTGTTGAAACATAGCTCTTCGTGTTTTAAAGTACTCTAGGTCTTAGTACATGAGGAAAACCATGCCAATTCCCCCCAAAGGTGTGAGCGATTAGGCTGATGGAGGGAAATTAAAGGCGACCATGAGAAGCGTGGCCCGGATGTATCTCTGTCAATGTAACTGGCGTGGAAAGCTACTCCCGAAGAAGCAATTTTCCAGTGTAAGAAAAACATGTATTTTGAAAATGTTACAGGGAATTGGTAATCTCTTCCTGACCCGCTCTTAACAGTCTAAGAGCCCGAAAAAAATGGGCTCAAAGTGGAATTTTCATTACGAAAGTCTTGAACCGAAAATTGTTGGGAACCCTTTGATGTTCCACGCTTGATTACCTAGAGTGTGTAAGTGGTAAGGGTGAATTATAGGGTCTCGTTTATCCATTATCGACCTCTTTAAGGCGAACAGTTTCAGTTTGATCTCAGAACAGGATTGAGGAGTAAAAGTGGCCAAATTACATTCACTATAGTACGGCATATTCAAATCCGTTCACGACAAAACGATTCATAAACCCTGCCCTTGAGCTCCAGGTTGCTAGTAATGGAACTGGTGAATTTCACTTATGACGGTTAATATTTAAAAGAATTAGAAATTGAAAACGGGTTTGATATTTGCGATAAAATTAAAGATAGTAAAATTACCAGGAACGTTCATTGTTGTGCTATATGAAGGTTTAACAGGCATATGTCTTAAACCCCCCTCCCCCCGAAGGCTATCACATCTTAAATGAAAATTCTCGACGAAAATGGTACAGCTTCTTTTTACGACCTCGTCTGCAGTTTCTGTGGCGGTAGGCCAGTTTAGGCGCGGAGGAGGGGGTGTGCACTAATTCAGGTAAAAGGAAGATGAACTTTCGTAACGTTCGAGACCGCTGACGGTAGACGTACACAAATGAAGAAATTTGAAAGCTGATAGACGGGGATAACTTGTGGCTAGGACCCAGTAGGCCTATATTGGGTCCTAGCTTTTGATATACACGGACTGTATTGATAAATAGGACAAAAATACAAAACCCTTTACTGTAAACTGTGTTGTAATCGCAAATTGGCACCACTAGCACGAAATTCATGCGTTAGCACTCCTTTGATAATTTTGGTATGTACTGTATAGTGTACATATCAAAAATCGTCGATAGAAGTGCTAACGCGTGAATTTCGTGCTTTGTAACGACGTAACAGCTGACGTGATATGGTTGACAGCCGAACTTCAGTAACAACGCTGATCAATACTTAGTGACCTCCGTTTCAAACATAAGCTCCAATTTGGGAATTTTTTTAGATTTTTTAATCAAATTAAAATTAAAATGTCATCTTCATCTTAAAATCGTGTACCATATAAAGTAGATCAAATACCAAATCCAGGGTTTTTGAGTTTGGTAAATATGATTTCCTATTCAGCCTTAAGAGTAGCTATGATAACTCGTCAACAGTTCTTATTATATTCAAGTTGGCGTATGACACATGCAGCTGCACTGAGACACCACCAAACACCTGTTTTCATTTTCAGTGCAATGTCCTATGCGAACAACTGCTTGACATTATGAATTCGCATATGGACTGCGCCATGGCATGATCTTCTAAACTTGTAACAAAGGTCTTCAGGTTTTATCAACATGTATATATACAAGTATAATTGCCCTACACCAAAATGTATTCCTAAGGCTGAACCGGTTTCCAGAGGACATCTGAATTTTTCGATAGAAATTTGGATAGGCATTTTTACGTTAAAGGAATAAGATCATCTTGGGAATATGGCCTCTACAATGGAAATACTTTGTTCTGGGGGAAACTCCCATTTGTTCCTTCTGCATCATTGATTGCATACTTGAAAGCCAAAAGCGAAAAAAAAAAACATAGCAAACCCGCTGACTCTATCTTGGCCACCATTATTTCCTTATTTAATGTGGATTATTACATGTAGGCTACTTTGTTGCGATGCTATCAAGGTAATACAAATGGTATACAAGGCTCGAGGATGGCGTTCTGCTATGAAGTGAACCAGTTTGATTTCCTTTCAATAATTCTTTTTTTAATTTTGGAATGGAGTTTTTTCTTTGCCTTGAAACAAACAGGAATTATATAAGCATGCTACTATCAAATAAAAATGTGGCGGAGGGACGCTGCAAAATATGTAAGACTTAAATTTGGAAATAAATAAACGAGTAGAACTTCAAAATTTCCTGATATGATACATGTAAGCCAATGCACTTTGTGAATTAAAACAGTCGTCTCAAAATGTCAAGAAGACTTCGAGTTTTGAACTGCTAAATCAAAAGAATGTGTATTTGGCAATTTTGTAAATGTATCCAATCCCTATTAAAAATATCACTATGATAAATTTATTGAAGTTTTGCGAGTTAAGATGATACTGGTAGTGCTCGTTTTAGCACTTATTTTTTATTCTATTGTAACTTGCTCTGAGGAATATCACTTTACTGTTTGTGTAACGGGAGCAAGTCATTCCATTCTTTATATCCCAAGTGACAAAAAAGCCTTTTTCCAAAAAGCAATTATCAAAAGATAAGTGTCCCTGAATATATAAATCTTATCAACAGAAACATTAGGTGTCCTGCGCTTGGTACACTTAAGTCCCTTCTTTTTTATTCCTTAAACGATCTGCTAATTTACCATCAGGTGGTGAGAACCGGCTCCTTTCTAGAGACCGAAATCACTTGCAAATATCACTGCCCAGTACAAAATTTTTCATGATATGATAAGCAATGAATTAAGATACTTAAACAAAGACATCACCTTGAGCACGATCGTCAAGGAATGCCAGGTTTGGCATTGCTCGTAATGGTAGGCCGCATAGTGATGATAGTTGTCAATATGGCATTTTACTTTGGCATCTTACATCATTTCTGATAATTGCTATTTGGATTGAAATCTACTCATAAGAATGATTGAAAAGTGAAGCTCATTGAAAAAAGTAAGACATCCTTTTTAAAGTAATTATTTTAACATTGTTGGCAACTTCAGACTTATCAAATGGCACCAAAAAGACTCTTTACAAAAAAAAAAAAAAAAAAAAAAAACTCGATAAGCACTCAGAAACCGCCGACCTCACCCAATCACCTAACAATCAATATTCAGTATTATTGACTGATTAATTACCAACAAATTTATTATCATTATTATTTTAAAAACTGCAATGTTTGTGTAGTCATAAGAAAGAATGACTATATTGGTCCTATCTCGAAAGAGATTTTTAAAAAAATTCAGGCTCCAGAAGGCGATGAGTACCAAAACCTAATCATTAAGTTAACCCAATTTCTGACCTACACTGTAAATTTCATTAAAATCTATTCAACCGTTTTTAGTTAGGCTGATGACACACAGAGAAACAAATAGACAAACGGGGGTGAAAACAAAACAGTGGTGTTCAAAAATCAACTGTCTGACACAAAAATAGGTAAATTGGCGGAATGGTCATACACTAAATGCATTTGGTACGAAACAGAGAATTATATCATAGTGACGGCAGCCATTTTGTAAAGCTTTTGATTGTTTGGTATATTGTATTTTACTGCATTATATAAATTTAAGCTAACACAACATCTAAGATACGTATTACTTTTAAACTGTGAATGAAGCATTACATAAATGTATAGTTACACCCATTTATACAGTCATTATTTCTCTGACTATTACGGCCATTTGGACTTTCAACATGTACCAGAACGACTCATTAATAAGCTGCCAAAAAGAGAAATGACCCATGTTTATAGGGTAATTGTTTGGCAGAATTTTTTATGATGGACATCGTTCGCCATTTTGTAAAAATTTATTGTCTAGAAAGTGGAATTAAACTTAATGCATGGGAATGTACATTTACACTAATATTTAGCCTTCAATTTGTAAGTTAGTTCAAAATTGTGACTGTATAGCAACATAGGGATGGGTATTCTATATCTTATAGGGCTTGGCGGCCATCTTGTAAAGCCTCAAATGTTACATACAATTTCAGTGTTGAATTCTAAATCAATAAAGCGTTTTAAATTGTAAGTAATCCCAAATTATGGTCATGAATTTTTTTAAAAAATCCATAGTGAAAAAATGTTTCTTGGGCTAATGTCGGATGGGACCAAAACAACTCCAAACAGTAAAAGGATTTCTATAAACATTCGAGTTGAAACAGTGGTATGGACGAAGGCCCCTTCATATGTAAGGGTAAATGTTCTCAAAGAAATAGGCGTCCATCTAGGATATCTCTTGTAAACCAAAGTTGCCAAAGCGACAGCCAAGACAAATATGCTGTGGGCCAAAAGGCACATTGGGCAAAAAAATCAGAGGAAAGATAATTTCTAGGTTTTAAAAGATCCTGGACTGAAAAGTGAAATACTCGTTGCATTTCATGTAACTTTTTTCACCAATGCTGCTATATAACAAATGCTTCATATAAAGGTCATTTGTTAATAAAAAAATATCCTAGACAGAGTACAGAGTGCACATAACAGGATAACATATGGTGCAGTACAGGCCTTCTATCGCGCTGGCCTGCAGCCCAAGCCGAAGTATTTTGAAAACTGATCCCAACATAATTGTTGTTTAAAGGAAAAAGCCTGCTAATATTCTGGCGATATAGAATATTTACAACACAAGTAATACATGCAGGAAGTATCCCTGTATCTATGATAATATACATGGACATAAGCTTGCCGGTCACAATTTTTATGGTTTCTTTGAATTCGCTGCACATTTTCCGCGGGCAAAATAAAGCATCTCTCTCTAGTAAACTAAAATTACTTAAAAGCCGCCAAAGTTGGCATTTTTTATTCCCCCCATAGGCGGAAAGTTGCATTAGATCGATCGAAAACGAAGTAATATCTATCTGCAGTGACGTGATATTTATATTATCTGTGATTTTAGCTCCGATGAATTTATGGACCTCTTACCTCCTTGTAAAACGGACACAGCGACGATTCGTATGAATACATGTTTCAGCTTTCCGGAGCTAAAATCACAGATAATGATGTAGTATTATATATCTGAATCATGGAAAAGCTTCAATTCAATTTTCCCCTGGATTTTGGTAGATAGCGAAGCTGGTTGTGCCTTATTACACCTCATCGCTGTAGAAAACAACTTTGGTCTTTCGAAAAGGGGCGTTTTGTTTCTGTCTCTTACATTTTCTTGCAATACCACCCATTTTTCCTGCGGGATTATCTCTACAAAAGTACATGGTGCATTCTAGACTCAAAAAATATAACGATTCGAAGATTTCTGAATGCCAAAACCCAGATTGATTCTAAAAATTTTCCTGCATTTCTAGAGGCAATATGCCTCATCTGGACGGAACAGATAGTGTTAGACGACAAAGTCCTCCTTTTTATCATTGCCCAATTTAAGCAAATTTCCAATATCCAAATCCCTTTTCAGATTTTTTTCTGTTGCTCGCGTCCCTTAGTGTACATTTCTGCTGAAAGGAAATCTGTGGAAAGCAACACACATAATTAATATCCTGTCGAGAAAAACGGCGTGTATCCCAGCGGTTTATTTTAGAGGTATGAGGTCCCTTTGGAGAAAAAGAAGTTAGCCAAACCTCAAAACCACCGATTAGATCAAACCCGCTATGAACTGGTACATTAACGGGAACTGAAGGCGCGTGCGTCCCAACGCCTGATACGTCCTACGCCAACTTATTAAGGTCAAAAATATGATCATTACAGGAAGCGAAATTACGAGTTCTGCGTTTCATGGAAATTGGAAAATGAAATATGATAACAGTATCCTGGAATAGTGGTTCATTCACTGATTCAGAAATGTATGAAAAATGTTCACTCTGTCGAGCCCTCTGCAGTGATGGTTAATTCTGCCGAAGCGATTAAGGATTGTGCCCTATTGACGCCTTCCTACCTAATTGCCGGGAATGCAAACAAATTGCAACATTCTTTCCCCTGACTGCGTAGTCTACATTTTATTACTCGATCTATATAATTGTTGATTACTTAGTGTAGGCTATCGCGCGCGCACTATGCTAAATATATTAGGGAGGGAAAACCGTTCACTAAGTTTATTTCACATCTTTGCATCAGCAACGATGGTTCAAAATTGTATTGACAGGCAATCGATAAGCTGATCCAAGATTCGAGCTGCATAACATATATCCAAGTGTTGCTCGAAATTATCTTTTTATTGGAGGTTATCAAGAACGCATTCAACTCTGGAGGATTGGTGGCTGTGTAAACTTTCGTAAAAGGAGAATTCCGTATATCTGCATCTAGTCTGACGTTAGCAACCAGTAATTTACTCCAACTTAAAGAAAATATTTACAAGACAGAAAAATTAGGAAAATTCGGGCGCGGATTTAATGTAGAGCTTCGGGCATCTATTGAAGGAGTTAGCAGAGGGAATAGACGCGTTTTCGACCACATTAGGCCGTCACCCGAAGCAACGTTGATAGGGACATATCACAGGGCTCTAACAGGACTATAGACCGGTTCTTAATTGAACTGGAATATTTATAGAGAATTTTACTATCCACAATTTAATTAATTAAACGCCCGGATACGAAGACGGCTTGATACTTTTATGCAGTAAACGTGCCGATGAGACATCAGTAAGATAAAGACACAGTCCAAGGTAACGTGCGTATAAACTATGGATGTTTTCGTTACCTTAGATTCTTTGATGCATTCACTTGAGCCATGATGGTGCGCCAGTGGTATGATTCGACTCTTACGAGTGACATTTAAAGGTGAGCTCTCTCTCTCTCTCTGTCTCTCTCTCTCTCTCTCTCTCTCTGTGTGTGCGTGTGTGTGTGTTATTTCAGTTTATAAAGGAAAAAGGGTAAAGCGTAAAATCTAAATGATTGCATGGTTTGCTAGAAAAACGAATATTACTCCAAACCTTCGAAACGATTGTTTATCGCCTGTTCAAATCTGTTTACATCGTATACAAATGTAAAGCCACTTTTTTATTGTATGCGAAAGTGAGGATATTGAATACCTAGATTTAACTTTACGGTTAACAGTCTAGGTATACAACAACCTTAATATTCTGAAAGTAACAGCTTGGGCTTTCTCTTAGCTTAATTGAATTCAGCGTCAACAGAATATCACTTCTTATACAAAAGGTCCATGCTGCCCAGCGTTTGCTTATCTACCTGATAAATGATCTGCTGAGAGTCATTTATTAGCAATTAATTAAAGTTTCGTAGTCAAAAGCAGTTCGCAGCGAGAAGGGGCATTTCCCAGCACATTATGCTACGATCAAAGCGTGCTTATGTGGTTAAAAAGCCGTTCTGTATGAGGTAATCTGCTCATTCTACGCTACTGACATATCTGTTACCTAGCAAAGGCGTATGATTCTGATAGATTTCTATTCAAGATTTTATCTCTCACTAGTTTTCTTTCTTCCTGTAAGTTACTCTCTCTCCAACCGTCTCTCTCTCTTTCTTTCTCTCTCTCTCTCTCTATCTATCTCTCTTTCTCCCTCTCCATCAGATGATGATAGTGATAGAAGGACAAGTCAGTTGTGGTGAACGAACAATGTTTTTTCCTGGAGACTTTAATCTGATACTCAAATACGTTAAGGAAGCAAACGACTTGCTCACTTTTAGGTGAAAGAAAACCCCCAATGGTTATTGACAGCTCGCGTTCGATAATTGATCACTGAGTCGAGAAGCGTGCATCCTGCGTATATGGTGTGGATCTTGCGGAGAAACCAGCCAAATCTAAGATATTTTTCAAACTGATGAGTTTAAGTTGCGTCAAATGATGCTGCTTTGCAGTTTGTGTTCTTCCTGTCGCAAATGACTGATCGCTTCCTGAGGTGCGGCATTCCTGATCGATGCGAGTGACCTCACAAACCTGATGCTACATGCTGCACAGATTTAGGTATCTCTGTCTGAAGCAACTGTACAAGACGTATGAACACGATCTTGATGAAAAATGACGTATGCTTTACTTTTATTTGATCGGGTGGACTAGTAGCAGTAATCATTTAAATGTGGCCGCAACGATGAACAGAAGTTTTGGTGATTTTCCAGCAAGATTGATTGGCCAATATTTGGGTAAATTAAGGCAATTTAAATCATCTTGTGATGGGGCTTTAGGCTAAGGCGTAGATTCCATAAGAATGGATCAGAATCAGTGGTTATTTCGTCATTAACTCACTTAACGTCAAAATACAAGTATGTGGATTTAAATTAATCACATGCCAAGTAGTGCTATCATGAATATCTGACATGTTTTCTAATGATTTTTAAAGTTTTACTCGAAATGGTGCCCCCTTTTCAGATAACTATTTAGGGTTGATTAAACTGGTATTTCAAAATATGCATTTTTGCAGTTGAACCATAATTAAATGTACTGTTTTTTATATGTTTGTGTAATGGTTCTGCAAGTAAAAATGATCTTTTAAAAAAGATTAAATGAAAAAACCTGCGCTTTTGAAGCTGCCTAATTAGACATATCTCATAAGGTTAAAGTCTACGCATTTATTCAAAATTACTTGTTCGCTGTGTGCCGAACGTATTTGCTACAAACACGGAGCGCTGAATTAAAGATGAAACCCGCATGCTGTTAATAGAATAACGATGTTCAGAATATCAAATAGTGACAACCTGGATTTTGTGGTTCTTCCTAGAAAAGAACTGGTAAAAGGAAGACAAGGGTTTCTTTCCTGTGCATGCATCCACACATAAAACCAAGATAATTCACGAGGTTGCGTCAATGAAAAAACATTGTGTGAACGTACAATAACGACTAATATCAAATAGGCTGTTATTACGCCCCATTATTTATTGAATTACTGGAATGATGGACCCTCATGTTTGGAAGTGAAAAATATACATTGGCGAAACTGAAATATGGATGTCATCTTAAGTTCAAACAGTACAAAATTCAGCATATATCTAAGTGCACATCCCTGTCGTAGAAAACTGCCCTCTGTATTCCATCGCTCTGGAAAATGTTGCAAATTTAATGGAACACAATCGACCTTGAGCATCTAGTTCACGAAACACGTTACGGTTTCATTTATTATACATTACAGTTGTTAAATGCAGTGTTACAAAACGGTCTTTTGAATGGTGCCGCAGTTTCTTTTCTAATTGTTCGACGTTTACTGACAACCGTGCGTTATTTCACAAAACCGAGATGGGTCCCATAAACAATTCTTCTTATAATTTTTTCATTGAATAATGCTAAACTGCAGTCATATCGAATCCGGGCACGTAAGGAAACTACACAAGTCTTACGCATGCAGCAGTATAAGTGCTTTAGTAAAGCATTATACATGTAGTAAATTGATAACATTTTCCTGTTGCCTGTTTTTTTTTTCTTTTTAATTTCCATTTTTGTGATACTGGGCTTCCACAGAACCTTTTACAGGTATGTTTAAGCGCTGACGGACATGAAAAGTCAAGGTAACGCAATACTGGCAATAGTAATGGTTGCGTAACACACACACACACACACACACACACACACACACAAACGAAATATGAGTAAAACATACCTTTAGTATCAATATCAATATCAAAATGAATATATGTCAAATTAAGAACACTGCAAGATGTGTCTTAACGAGATGGCATAGTTAGTACTAATCCCTCTATCCAAGTAAAGTGACAAAGCTAAACCTGAAATCCCTAGATAAAAAAATTACAAATGTATTGTTAGCTGTTCTATTGCAATTGCACAATTGCAACTGCACAATTGTTCACGCTTTTCTTCATTATTATCGTCAGGTTGCTTTTGGTTTTGTTCTATCAGAAAAACCAGCACAGTCATACCCGATTCTGGAGGAGTTTGTATAGTGGCACATCACGATATTTTATTGATAAGATACTAAGATGACGCAGCTGAAAGATGAAACCACTGCATGTTAACAAAAACACCTTGATTCATAATCCAGTAGGCCCTACATATGTGACAATTTTTAAACATTTTGTTCTACGTTTTATCAAAAATGCCATTACTGACGTCATCAAACGGTATCCCCAGTAAACAGGGAGCAGATATTATTTTGAAAGGACATCAAAACATGCTGTTACCTCTAATATTATCGGTTATAATGAAAATTTAGAGTCAATGTGAACTAAGGGTTTTCACAGTTTACTGCCATTGTTTAACAGAAAGTTATATGTTTTTTTCTCTGTAGAACCAGAACAGTCGGAAGGAACACTGTTAGATCGTCGTTAAACTGTGTTTTAAAAACGAGTAGAACGTTTTTCCCATATCTTTTTTCACTATGTTTGCTTTTCTGACTGGTTCTTACAAACTACGTCTTTGAATATACTACTGTATTGAATTGCAGGCCTATGGCTAACTGTCAATTCAGATTGAATTGGTTTCTCGCTTGATTTATAGTGATTTCAACCGCATTTATGGTAGATGCCAACAGCAGACATATTCTCCGTTTATCATGAAACTTTAATCTAACTAACACATCAGGAGCATGTTTTACCGTACATATATTGAAATCAGGGATATTAAGAACGAAATCATTGATCTTAGGCAACTGTAAATGTAATTTTTCTAGACAACGCATCTCTATATATTTTCGGGAAAAAAGCTGATAATGTGTTTGAATCTTTGAAATATATCTTTGTCAGAATCGTGTCATTAATTATTTTCTTGTAGCGCGCTTCTGGTTTTTCTTTGTAGATGCTCTGTCAGTCAACGTGTTGGACAAAATGGAAGTAACTTGTTCGCGCAGTTGTTCGATTTGCAGCAATTTCTTTTTTCTTCTGTTTAATTTCAGGTTATTGCCCTTCTCTTTCCTATCTGTTACTAAATACAGGTCGGAGAAAGACGTAACATAAGTCACTTTACCTATTTACTACTACTACGGCAATCGAAGTATTTAATACTTTGGTAAATGTAAGCCTTAAGAAAAAAGAACCATGGACAAAAAAGTACACACTTTGTAACTATCCTAAAACGGTATTACGCTTTCCTTAGATCTTTAATTTACGCTTCCATGATAAGTCTCTTAGCTCTTTAAGTCTCTTTGAAAGCTGTGGTGGAATATTATCCTAAAAGAAATTGGTTAAAGCCCCAGCCAATTACATGGCATACTTTCGATTACTTTAAATCTTTCCGATTGAACTGTAAGTATTAAGCCAATCCAGTGGTTGAAACAGACGCCATGCAGATCGATTATAACAGAGCGTCTTGTTGTTTCAAACAGCAAAAAAATCTTTAAGTATTTCATAAGACTGACTGAGAGTTTAAAGCAAAATGCATCTTAAAATTCTCATCTAATGACGAAAGGATCGTCACAGAAATATACAAATATTTATTATTTTCCTCTATACCAATGGGGACCCAAAGGGACAAAAGGGTGACCTATGTCACAGTTGGATCATGGTTATCGTTAATACATCAGTTAATGGTTCTGTGTGTGTTGTGTATACAAGTGACTGCTGGAAATTAGCATCGAATCTCTGCATTCGGTGAGTGCAGGAACATGCTTGTTTCACTTTGTTTCTATCCACTGTTTGCTCTTTGTACATGTAAGAGATTGTTCTGTCTCTCATTAAAATAAATTGACAAGAACATGTAAGTTTCATTCACTGTCCTTGGTCCAATAAAATACAATATCAATCAGGCCACCTTATTATGTGAAATGAAAAATTTCAGAAAAAAACATGCTTTATAAAAGCCATCAAAAGAAACCAAGTGTCTATAATCTAGTTTAAAGTGTCCCTTGCAAAAACGATTCTGGCAAACAGAAGATAGTCTTTAA